CGAAATACACCTGTTTACCTCAGCTACACTCAATAATATACTCTCAGTTAGTATAGACTTTTCTGAATCACCTCTATCAGATCCCTGTATGTATTTCATCATGATCATCAGCCTATCGCAGTCCACTGCTGGACACAGACCTCTCCCATTGCACGCCACTTAGATCGATTTTGGGCTTCTCGCATCCAGCTCCTGCCAGCCATCTCTAGCAAATCGTCACTCCACCTGGCCTGTGGGCGTCTTACACTAAGTTTGGCGAGACGCGGTTTTCCACTTGTCGGTTGTCGGTTCTGCGGCTAATATAGGCAGCCCATTGCCACTTCAGCTTAAAGTTATGGTTTTAAATTAATCAACAGCTTTAGATAAGATCCTCAAGAGAGTTTATTTGTATTAATTTTTGTAATTCTAGAGTAAGATTTTTATATGGCAAAGGCCCGGCAATGGCAGTTATTATTGCAAATTTGATGTTGTCAAATTTACCTCAATATATAATATATATTACTACATTCACTCAACGCCATCTAGTCCCTTACTAAGCAGAGCTTGTACTATGGGTACTAGACAACTGATATAAATACATATAAACTTTTTTTTGTAAATACATACATATTATACATAGAAACACCCAGACCAAATCAAACATTAAATGTTCATGCACACAAATGTTTAACTTGAGCGGGAATCGAACCCGCGACCTTTGGAATAGCAGTCCGTTAAACAAACCACTATACCATTCGGTCGTCGTATGTTATAGTATGTTATTATATGTTAATAAAGGTATTAAGTCTCACACGATTTCAAAAAATACACTAATACAATTGTATTTCAAACGAAATTATATGAATGTGTAATGAAACTTTGAATATAAATTGTGTGTGAATATAATTTGAGTCATGAATTTAATTAATTGTATCGATTTCTGATATTGTTATTGAATTACTTTTTTAAATGAATTTTTGTCTATTATAAGTATGTATGCATAGTGACTCTGTTTAAAATAACAATTGCTGGTCGCTTTGTATAACTAGCCAGACGGATACTAATTAATAATTAATGTTCTTAATTTCCTATTTTAAGTGAACTGTAAAGTTTTTTAAGCATTAAAGTACAATAGTCATTATTAGATGTATTTTTTTAAAGCATTACCATCTTTAGGAACTAAATTACGTAGTTTAAAAAAAAGGTAGAGACCTAGTTTACTACCTTGTGGTACTCCTGGTAAAACTTTTTCAATTTTTTCGATTTCAGTTCCTATACTATTGATAGTTTTCTAGTGATTTAGCTTGAGTTCAATAGAATCTTGTAGAATCTCATTTAAAAATTATCTATTTAAAATAATTTAGTTTAAGTACAGTCTTACGTATATAAACGTAAAGCACTCACATTATCATGGTGTCAATAAATATTAATATTAGCAATTATTGAAGTACCAAAACTAAAGCCTTACTGTCCAGTATTCTTGTTATCTTGTTTAACTAAGGGCCTATGTATAAATGCCTTCTTTTTCTTTTTAAAGATAGTTCCCGCGCCAGGAATATATTCTGTGTCGCGGAGGACTTTACAAACATACATGAAATGGACACAAAGAACACCCAGACTCAAGACGACAATTTGTAGATCACATAAAGTGTCGTCCCATGTGGGGATCGGACCCACAAGACTCAGTGTAGAAGAAAGCGGCGTGGCGACCGCTTAAACCACTACGCCATTCGTGTAGTTATGTCAAACAATACTAAGATTGTCATTTCTATACTAATTTAAAAATAATAAATAGCTGGGTAATCTTCAAACTTGCAACCTTTCGACCGCAACTGCGTTTAGTTTTTTCTATCCTCGATTTTATGTCATATCTACAAAATTCTGCTGAAATTATTTCCATTGACGCCATTTCCGATGACGGTCGGATGGCGTAATGGTTTGTGTAACGGACTGCTACGCCACAGGTCGCGGGTTCAATTCTCGCTTAAGTCTAACATTTGTATGCATGAACATTAATTTAATGTTTGATTTGGTCTGGGTGTTTCTATGTATAATTGTATGTATTTACCAATAAAATTATATATGTATTTACATATATCAGTTGTCTAGTACCCATAGTACAAGCTCTGCTTAGTTTGGGACTAAATGGCGTTGTGTGAATGTGGTAGAATATTATTTTTATGAATAGACCCGATGTTGTTAAGACACAAAGAAATACTGTGACAACAAAAACTTAAAAAAGTCTCTGCCCACTGAAGTTTTAATAATAATTGCTGCAGTTTAGTGGGACTGCTGTTCTGTTGGCTAGTGATTTCCAATTCTATCTGATTTTTACCTCGTATTGTAAAGATACTTACGTTCTTATCCTATTATTTTACTTACGTTTCTATTTCCTAAATGTGTTTCAGATCTGCTTGAGGTGAGTGTCTCGGCCAATTCCAGACAAGAAATTGTCAATGTTCATTAATGTCTCTCGAGAAGTTATCGATGATGGACGTTGATGTTGTAACTAGTAGGGAGTATCAGGAGAAAATACCTACTTATATGCTTGTAGTTTATTCCTTAGTAAGGGAAGTTCTTTAATATGAAACTTTATTCTAAAATGCACCGTTTGCGAAAGCTCAGCTCATACTTACGATTCGTAATCTCATCGTCTTGTCAAGAAAGTAATCTTCTGGACAGAAATCAGTAAAATACCCTTCCAATTACCGTTTTCCAGAAGAAACTTTTTACACGTAGCAATCCTCTCATTGCGAGAAGATTTATAGGTAGTGTCTGTTAGAATAGAACCTATAAACCAAGACGCAACTTGTTGACATATGTGCAAAATATACCAAAAATAAGTTTTCTGATAATCTGACTCTCAAAAACTATTATTGTGTCGTCTTGTCAGTTTAGAGGACAAAATATAATATAGATATTCAGTATTTGTATTGTATTTTGCCAAGCTAGTTTGCACTTAATGCTGTAATGTAAAAGTCCTTATTTATTTTTCGTTATGACATTTTTTTAAATACTTAACAAATTGTTTGCTTCTTCTATGTCATTAAATTTGTCACCGACTGAGACAAAAAAATATATTTTGAAGTAAGTGTAATTATAACAACTTCAAATCCGTTTACTTAAAATTTGGGACTTTCATAAAGACTTTCCTGTAGTATTTTTCGTACAAACCATAATATATTATTTACACTTTCATTAAGGAAAATTTGACGTACTTTTTGTCAAATCTTTCTAAATGCTAGTATCAATAGTCATTAATGGGCTGAGGTATTTTTTATGCATTTTATCCTTATAAACAGGTCCAGCAGTGGACTATTAAAGGCTGTTGATGTGATGTGATGTGATGAAGAAACTGGTTTATTATTTTAAAAAGTAACAAAGCTGGTACCTGGTTACTTTTTTTTTAGAATAACTTATTTAAAGAGAATGATCCAAGTTTACGAGGATGTTTCTGTGTGTGTGTAACTTAATAAGGGTTGGTTAAATAAAATGAACAGTTAAAGTATGTAACATATATATTTCTTTGAGCTTTTAATTGCATTTTGAAATACAACATAAAATATTAAATAAGATTATTAAATTTGGTAAAATCAATATTTCAACACCATTTTTTTACTTTTTTTCCTTAAGAATGAGCAAAAATCTCTCATCAGAGCTAGCGTATACATAATAATAATTGTCGTATGTTTTCATTATTATCGTTAAAATGATAGGTTTTTTTTACGATTCTGAAATTGTCGTACAATTAACTATTACACTGAATATTCGTAACTACATTGAAATAATCTAAAAAAATGAAAAAAAAATGAAATCGAAAATATAATATATCCTATTGTATATCCCATCAGAAATGTCGTATACATGTTCAGTAGTCGTATCGTAATTTAACGTTACGAATATCCAGTTCACAATTAAAACCATTTCTTGACCTCGTCTGAAACTTACATTAGAGCGTTTACAATATTTTTCTTTAAATATAAAAGAGGTTCCTGACTCTCAAGTGCCGTATATACATCGTATAACTGTGGTTACAAATTGAATGATATAACTCAGTATATCTTTATGCTCTAAACGTATACGAATGTTATCATCCCTTTTAAAGAAAAAAATGTATAGGTATCACTTTTTAAATATAGGTTGAATAAACAACCGATTAATGCGCTGGCATATTGGTATACAAGTGTTCACAGATGCAGTTTACCTAATATTATGTACTTAATACTAAATAATAAATAGCATCCTCGCGTTGAGAGCATACCTATAGCGAAATTTACACTAAGGAGATTGTTATATTGCATTCTATGTCGAATTGTATGTACAATACGAACAGAAACTTATGAGATTGGATCTCCGAGATTATACGCGTTGACGGATCTCTTAATTCCAAAAAAAAACAAGAAAAATCATCAAAATATACATAAACTAAACACGTTTAATCCTAACTCTGATTTACATAAAAAATTAAGTAACACGAAAAAAATGATATTGCAACAAAATTTCTGTAAAAATACTGTAAGTCGACGCCCACTACGCGACTAGAACGGTACACGACTGAATCACATACTAGAGGCGATTGCGAACGACCAAATCAATTCCCACCAATTATCTTTTTTTTCAAAGAATTAATTAGCAAAAAATATACATTTACAAAAGAGATCGAATCGTATTTTATGACTTAACGTGACTTATATTTACATTTATCGAAATGGAATTATAACATAGTGTGGAAGATAAGCCACGGGCGCGGGGGGCCCTTACAACAACCGATCACCTAAAGGCAATATTTTGAAAATATTCTCTTATCACCTAAAACGAACGTAAGACGTTTGGCGTATACTTAAGTCGCTATTAATTTATTACACTAACCGATCTATGCGGTGAAATCTAACAATAATTACCTAAATAATTAAATTGGCAAAGAGTTTCGAAATACTTAGCATCGCAGCCGCGACCTAACTCTAGCAAGGTTTAACGTAGCAAGATATGGTATCATCACAACTGCCGGCCGGGGCACCAGCCTACACGTACTTACTGGAGAGCTGCTTGGCCAGTTCCGTATACTTGAGGAACTTGGAGTGAGGGCTCTCGTCAAACGACTGCGAGGGGCTGCGCGGGTCCTGCGGCGACGCAGCCGTAGAACTGCTCTTGTGCGCCGCTGGGGACGCGCCGCCCGCCTTCAGCGGCACCGGCTCCGGCAGCGCGCCGTCCTTCACGAAGTGCATCTTGGACAGGTGGTGCCGGTACGCACCCTTCGAAATGAACGGCGTGTCGCACAGAGCGCACTTCATTATAGAGTCTGTCACAACGGCGTCATTGCACGCCCAGCTAAATGTGAGAATGCTCGGCGGCCCGGCCGGAGAAGCAGCCGGAGCTGGTGCGCGGGATGTGTTCGTCTCTGTTTTATCGCATAGTTTTTGCAGGGCGGCTAAAGGGTGACTGCCACCGCGACGAGATGAACTCGGCTCGCTGGACGATCCTCCGCCGGCTAGGTTATCAAACATGGACGACAGTGCGCCGAGGCTAGAAGCTGGCTTTCTCTCAGCTCCCGGTGTATTTCCAGAGCGATCACTGGCAGGACTTCGTGGACTGGCAGCAGGGCTGGGGCCCTCGCTTTCCCGTTTAGCTACGACCGGCTTCACGTCTTCGTCAGCGGTGCTGCTCGGTCGGGGAGGTTCCTCCTCTTCGTCGACTTCGGTTTTTACGCGAACTGGCTGACTGCTCAAATCCACCCCGTTCTCGCGTTCCTCCTCCTCGACCTCCCTCTTTATTCTCACTTCGGAAGGGCGATCCTCCGATGCAGGAGTCTGAGAGCCGCGCGTATCGGGAGTAGTGCGAGGAGTCATGTGATAAGTATCTAGCTTTCTATCAGGAGTCAAAGATTCTACTCTACTGCCACCGCGCTCGGACATCGAGCTTGACTCGCTTCCACTTCGCTCTCGGCGTCCGTACCCTTGCTGGTGGTGGTAATTTCTTAGCATATTCATAGTCTGAGGATCCACTAGTGGTTTTGTATAGTCTACGCTCTCGTCTATGCCTAATCTCTTTAAGATACTAGAACCGATGGGGGCATGTGTGGCGCCACCCGGCATACCAGATACGGTATGACGCGACCTGGTATCGAAACTCTTCTCTATCAACTGTTCTATGGCATTGAGAACCGAAGGCGACGAGCTTTTGTCATTACTCGCATTATGATCTTTGGAACTCGGGGAGGAATCGTTCACGGAGGATGGAGAGCGATGATGACCAGACCCGGGGGATGGAAGCTCCTCGTTGATACTTTTACGACCGTCTCGACCGGTGGGAGTAACGTGGCCGGGTACATCAGGTGGGATTATGTTATTAGATAGCAGAGCGCTCTTCAAAAAGTTCCTTTGGCTATTCGACATAGGTGCTCCTATACACTGTCGTATGTGTTCGACGAACACTGCAGTCTCAATTTTGTCACCGCATTTTTCGCAAGTGATTCGGCTTCCAGTGCCAAAATCTCTAATTTGTTTACCCATAGGTACACCGTTTCCTTCACCATTTTTGAACTCGTGCTGTGCTCTTTCCAATTCAAGAAGTTTCCTAACAGGTAAAGACTTCTTCCGCTTCTCACGTGTTTGACGTCGTCTACCCCCACTTTCAGTAATGGAACGCATAATGTGTTCCTTGTAGTGAGAGTTTTTAACCATATGATTACTCAATTCCTTCAGTGAACTAAATGCTTGGTCACAAACTTTACAAGTTAAAACTGCGCTAACATGACTACTAGTTCCAGTGGTAGGGGGTACTGTGTTATTAGCACCACCAGGACCGCCGGAATTGGACCCCTTGCTCCCGTCATCTGACGATTTCCAAGATATAATTTGTTCTTGTGAAATTATATTAGTATAGTGCTGAGTTCGTTGCATATGGCTCGTCATTTCAGCAAGTGAACGGAAACTCTCCGCACACCACATACATTTTAAAATTTGTCTGGTCTGCTCAGCACCCTTACCTAGCCATACATCTTGACCACGGACAAGTTTTCTAGGAATGGGCATGTTTTCCTTAATTAGCATGTTCAGATCATTTTGGTTCGGTTTTGACGAACCGCTGGAGGATGACGAGTTATGTGATGGAGTGGATGGCGAGCTAGAGGGTGGTTGTAAAGAAGGCGGTAATGGAGCACCGGTAGGTGGAGGTACGGGAACATTGACCCCGCAGTGCTTTGCTTCTTTCATGTGCACAGTTAGGTCGGCAAGTGAGTTGAAACTTTTCTTACACCAGACACATTTAAGGACGTCTTTAGTTTGGTCAGCTCCCTTGTTTAGCCAATGGGATTGCCATGCTGAGTGGCGTGCAGCAGCGTTTGGTGCTAACCCAGCTCCGAGAGCGGCACTTTGCACTGATCGGAAAAGCTCCTCGCCTCCAAGTCTGCTCAATTCGCTCATCTTTTCTAATGCTTTGGTGGCGTCACTCGGTGTAGGCGTACCGTGTTTAAGTTTGCCGTTCCAGTCAGCAGGGATGCTCCCTTTAGGGGACAGACCAGCAGCTGCAACTGCAGCTGCAAAATACGGTAGATGAGGCGCTACGGGCGTCGACCATGGTGACGGAGTGGGTTTGAAATCCACAGTCCTCGAGTTTTTTCTGGACGGGACGGGCGAGGGTGAGTCCTCTGGCCCCCGTTTTCTCGTTCCAACGGACAAGTCAAGTGGACCGTTCTCATTTTTACTGAGATTGACAGCATCATCCGGATCTTCATCATCTTGAGGTGAATCGCAGCGCTTAGTGCTGAAGTCGAGTACTGCGTCGGCTCGTTCCGAATCTGTCATGTCTTCCTGGCAGGACATGAGAAGTCGCTGTTGTGCAGCTGCTGCGGCTGCAGCACCGAGATAAGCTGCAACGGCAGCTGAGTGCGGGGGCAGCAGCGCAGCGGGCAACGCAGCGGTCAGCGCTGCAGGGAGGGGAATGCCCGCCCCGCTACGACTTGAGTACACCGAGTCATTGGAGGGACAGCGTGGCGCACCCGACGATTCCCGCGACAGACATCTTGGGCTCTCCCTGAGGACAAAATCATAAAGTGACGTCAGATCGACCGACATAATTCACTTAACTAAAATTGGCTCTGTCCCTGGCATTCGTTATCTTAAACCGGTTATCGGCATTTGAATATCGACAGTAAATAAAACGAATGCAAGTTTTTTTAATTACCATTTTTGATAAATTAACAGCTTGATCGTGAATAGTAAATAGACTGCCTAATGGGCTTATATCAATTAATTTTAGTTTAAAACTTAGTTGACAGTTGTTCGGGTGTCCTTTAAAATATAACAAAAAAATAAGATTTTTGTTTGTTACATCTTAAATTACAAAAGTCAACCAAAAGTTAGAATCATTGTTTTACTTTTATTTTTTGGACATAAAAGGAAAAACTTCTCGTTGACAAACGATACAACTATAAATCTTAGTTGAGTACAAATAGGTTATGTTTTTGTGTGTCATGAATTGGATGTCAAAAAAGTCATATTAACGACGGCAATAAAATTTTACAAACAAAATTTATAGCATATCGGAAAGATTAAAATATTAAATCAATAGCATTATAAAACAATTATTCAGAGAATCGTGGCGATACCCAATCTGATAAACACGGCAAACACAATTGTTGATGACACCACTTATCGTTTATTTATGAGACTATAAATAAATATAAAACAGGTTCTTTTTTTAATATAAAAGTGAAAGATGGCCCCGATCCATATTGCCTTGCCATATCCATATTAAAACTACTAGATTTTCGATAAAGTCAATAGTTTAAACTATCAGGACTTCGTATTTAAAATGTTTTCACTATCAAATAAAATCACTGCAAACTTAAAGTAAAATCATGTACAATTGTTTTGTTTTTGAAGAATTTATTTTTAAAGTACAAGTCAGAATACATCACTTTTTCATGAAAAAAAAATATCAATTTTCAAAATATTACACTGAACAAAAGTAAAGAATAAACAATTGTAGTAACAAGAACACAATTTAAAATAAAAATACTCTAACTTAGATTTCTGACATAACAAGTACTGATAGAATTCTAATATGAAAAACTTTGAAGTGTTCCATAAATCACTGTAAATCAATAATCTATTGTGAGAATAATGGGAAACGTTATGGATGTGATACATACATAAAAACAATAAAACACTTGAATAAATAGAAAACCTACCTCACGTGGTCGGGTTCGACAATCATTTTGGACGAAATCTTTTCAAAGTACTCCAAACTGGCAACGTCGAAAAACACGCGGATCCATCAATAAAACACTATTACAGTTGATAACACTTTGTTACAATACAACAATTAGGACTTCCCAACAATAGTTGAAATTGTAAACACGTCGCGAAAGACGCGCCACGATGCCGGCGGTCGAGAGGGAAGTGTGCGGTGCCTGCGGCGGCGGCGGCGGTCCCGCGTGGAATGAGACGCCGCGTGATTTACGACCCGCCTGCAGCGCCCCCGCCCCGCACGCCCCTCACTAGAGCAGGACAGATGCCGCTTTTGCGGCGCTCGCAACGAAAAAGAGAGAGATAGCTATAGATATCCCACTTCGAGGGGTGGCGCTGCGTAATGCAAGCGTGCGTGCGATGCGCGAGGTGGACGTGCAGTGACGGGCGATCGTTCCGATGACAGCCGACTGACACAGCGGAGCTACTCTGCATAGCTGAGTCACAGTTGTAACACCAATGAAAAATGTACGGAGCATCCTTGATGGCCAATAGGCGTAATAACTTTTTAACGAGATTGTTTACGGAATCTCATTTATGTACATATGTAGATAATGTCAGTGGCATAGAGGTGCTTTATATGGTAGATAGAAGTCTCAAGGATTACAGAAGATTACCCAGACAGGGTTGGCGGCGATGACAAGGAAATGGCGCGTTAGCAAAACGCCGAGACGAGTCCTTTTAACGACTCACGGACAGACAGGGGACGCGGACGGATTTACGCGTATCACGAACAGATTTCCTGCTTTGACAAAGGGAAAATATTTTCTCATGTTTATTTTATTTTCAAGCTAGGAAACGTTAGGACACATCCGAACGACAATATAAATGTCAGTCGAGAAATCGAGGATGACAAAATACTGCTATCATCTAGCTAAATAAATTAACACAAGGAAAGAAAACATTGTTCCGTTAATCCCCGGAAACTAATATACTACGAGTTTTAGAGTCTATAATACTGTTTTTTTTTAATTATTATCAGAGAACGATCTCCGACTAAATGTTATCAAGGATTTCAATCGGAACAACTGTTACAGTGATTTGACAGAATGCTGTTGGTGGAACCGACACTTTTAAAAGTTTCAATGTTGAGAATCGCACAGCTGTTTATTGCTTCCTATAAGCATTAGTCGGGCTGCGGGTCAATCAATCACGTGTATTTATGTGACAACTATCGCCGTCTCTTTCTTAACGAACCAAAATAGTCAGAATGGGTTGTGACATAAACAAAAGAATTCTTATTTCGTTTTTCTTGTATCTACAGATGATAAAAAGAAATTGTTGGGATATATTTTAGTCTGTGGTCGATTTGAAGTAGGTACAGGAATTAGAACAGAGGTTTTATGCGTCAATGTATACTAGTGCGGGTCGATGTATGGGGGACACCTGACATCGTTTGAATAATTTTGCAGTAACAAAACGAATTTTATCACTGTCACAGATGTCTTCGGTATAATAAAATTGCAGTGTGTTTTATGATATAGACATTGTACGAATATTTTTATGAGTGTATTGAAATAAATTAATTTAAGTTGAAGATGTAACATTCCGTGTCCGTGTCAGTGTAGTGACGGATTAAGAATACGGTATGTCACTACCCCAATTCATCCCATGGGTGTCGTAAGAGGCGACTAAGGGCGCAAAACAACGCAGGACACCAGCACTACAAAAAGAAGGAAAACTTGATACAATCCCTATACCAATCCGTCTGGCCAGCGTGGCATAGTAGGCCAAAACCTTCTTTATAAGAAGAGGCCTAAGTCCAGCAGTGGACTATTAAAGGCTGTTGATGATGATGATGATGTTGATGTAACATTCTGGTTGGGAGAAATTGAGACCTTTTTAATTTTATACCGTAGCTTAATACTTAGTAACTGTGTTAAATATTTTAGAACTGGGAGTGGACCTTGTATGCAGTAGGTAAAATACCATAACTTTGATTAAAACCCTCCAGTTTGTCAACTATAATAAGATTTCACTTATTTGATGTCTGTTGTCATATATAATTGATAAAAAAATTGATACCAAAATTAAAGGAAAATATAGTAAGAAGAAAAGGCAAAAGAAGGAAAATAATTTATATATAGGAACGGATTGGAGAGTGCAAGAAATGGCTCGAATCTGGAACTAAGCATTGGGGAGAAATGAACCCTTTTGACTGATCTAGGTTTCTATCTATACTAATATTATAAAGCTGAAGAGTTTGTTTGTTTGTTTGTTTGAACGCGCTAATCTCAGGAACTACTGGTCCGATTTGAAAAATTCTTTCAGTGTTAGATAGCCCATTTATCAAGGAAGGCTATAGGCTATATATCATCACGCTAAGACCAATAGGAGCGGAGCACCAATGAAGAATGTTTCAAAAACGGAGAAAATTTATTACTATTGAGAGACGCAGACGAAGTTGCGCGGGTCAGCTAGTCTTAGATAGATCTTTTTCTGCTAAAAATTTACCTATCAAATAATTTAGAACTGGGAATGATACTAGTGTTCTTCAGGTAAATATTTTTTATTATTGACGGTCACTTCTGACGGTTTTCATTGGAGCAGGTCAACTTTCCCAGTATTTTTTAATACTTTTTTTAACGCTTAAAAAACAATATAAGTGATGAAAATTAATGTTGTGAGTACCTTGGTATCTATGTAATACGCAATTAGTAGTACAAAGAAAAAGCCAAATATAATATTATTATTCAAACCCTGTATTCCATTTTGCAAAGAAACGTTTTTTATCTTTAGTCTCATTGTACGTTTTTTTTATGTTAGTGGGGGCAGACGAGCAGACGGGTCACCTGATGGAAAGTGACTATCACCGCCCATGAACGTCTGCAACTCAGGAGTCACAAACGTAAATATATTTTTCAATTGGTATAAAAAATTATCCGCCCGGTGGCAGGACGAGATTGTTGCCTACGCAGGAAGAGACTGGATGACCACAGCCAAAAACAGAAAAAAAATTGAATTTTTTGGAGGAGGCTTTCACCCTGAGGGGGTCCACAAATTAAACGTGCATGAATATATAACTATTATTATTTCAATTTTCTTATTATAAAATAATTCAATTTCACCAACTAATAATTGGCAACCCATAATTGTAATTTATATTTTGTAGAATAAATAAAGCTATTTTATTATTATTATATTTAATTATCATCATCATCAGCCTATCGCAGTCCACTGCTGGACATAGACAACTCCCATTGCACTCCACTTAGATCGATTTTGGGCTTCTCGCATCCTTTTTGCTGGATATAAAATTATATATTATAAAAACTCTTACAAAGAACATAATAAGATAATCGTTTGTTTCAATATTAACTTCATTTTCTTTAGTAAATGAACTAAAACATTTCAACGATTAGTATATTTAAGTTCATTTACGTATATTTAAATGGGCCAGACGTCGATAATTTTAGTAGAACTAATTTTCTCGAGAAATTTAACGGACAAGGTTAGGATAATCAGCCGATATGTAGGGTTTAAAATAATATTTTAGTATAAAATTATGCGAAATTATATTCAGTAATTTGAAAATTATTATCACTGTCTTTGTTGAAGGAAAAATTAGCTAAAAAATGTTTTTACCTAACAATTATCTGTATATTTTGAACTTTAATCAAGTATCTGCTCTAGACTACTCTTAAAGAAGATCTTCAACATTAATACTAAATATTTTTATTTCTCAATATACAAACAAAAAATGCAAACAATTGGAAATTTTAAAAAGTAACAATAATAATAATATTCTACCACATTCACACAACGCCATCTAGTCCCAAACTAAGCAGAGCTTGTACTATGGGTACTAGACAACTGACATAAATACATATATACTTTTTTTTGTGAATACATACTTATTATACATAGAAACACCCAGACCAAAACAAACATTAAATGTTTGACTTGAAATTTAAAAAATAATTGCGACTTTGGAACGGGCGGTTGTACATCGGCAAGTTAAATTTTTATTAAATTTATTTGCTTACTATTTGACAAGGCAGAGATTGCTGCTATTGTGTGTTTAAATCTATGACTAAGTCTACATAAAAGACGATTTTAAACAATTTAATTTTTTTATGAGTTTGAGTTTGATAAATTGTAATTCTTCACACCATAATTTACCACCTTTAATAGTGGTGTTGCGACGGATTACGAGTGCGGAGTATCACCACCCCTATTCATACCATGGGTGTCGTAAGAGCCGTCTAAGGGAGCAAACTCTGCAGGACAACAGCACTGCCAAAATAAGGAAAACTTGAAACAAACTCTATACCAAAACGTCTGACCACCGTTGTATGGTAGGCCAAAACCTCCTTTCTAAGGAGAGGTTGATGTCCAGCAATGGACTATTAAAGGCTGCTGATGATGATGATGAATGGTGGTATTTTTGCTTCAAATTTTAATGGGACCAAACGTGTAGTATTCCTCTTAAGTACATGATATTAGGTTTTATTAGTGTTTTTGCCTATAGCACTAACACCAATAAAAGCGCTGTACACAGTATCGTATCTCAGTATTGCCAAAGACAGTTCTTAGTGGCGTCAAAACGTAGAAACAAACCAAAAAACAGTAATACTAAGGTTTTAAAACTTAGATTTATCCGTCCCGTGGTCCTCACTCAAATGGAGATATTTCATTTATATTGCTGGTTCTTTAGTGGTTTAGCTAGTTTAGCTAGTGCCCTAATCTCTCTTTTATTTGTTTTAAAAGACAACTCCCGCACTAGGAATATATCCTGTGTCTTTAGCTTTACAAACATACATAAAACGGACACAGAGAACACCCAGACTCAGAACAACAATTTGTGGATTACTCAAAGTGTCGTCCCATGTAGGGTTTGAACCCACAACACCCGGCGTAGTAGGAAGCAGCGTGGCGACTGCTTAAACCACTACGCCATCCGTGCAGTTTAATGTCTCTATACCATGTATTGAGCAGTAAGGCTGATCATAGACCATTAAGTATCTA